GGCTTTCCTCCTGCAGTCGGCATCATTGCATGTATTTTGTGAGATTGAAGAGGACTTTGTAGGTCTGTGTTGGACATATGGGTTAATGCTGGACTTAAGTGCTTGGACAGCACTGGGATGCTTTCTTTTTTTTTTTTTTCCTTCTGGAATATTTTTATTTGTTTTATTTTTTACATTTTATTAGGGGCTCATACAACTGTTACTGGGATGCTTTCTTAATGTACACTTACCCTTTATATAAAACTCCCATTTTATATATATATATATGAATTTCTGTGAATTAAACTCCCATTATATATATATATGCATTTCTGTGAATTTGTTTCTCTCTTCTACCCATACTAACACAGCTGTCTACTGAGTTAGGGAAGAGGTCTTTTATAAGACCTCTTGAGTCTAGATGTGGAAAAGGAGGGGCGGAGGGAAACCCAATGTAAATACGTATGTAATAAAATTTGGTAGAGGTTAATCAATTATGCTAATTCTTCGTAAAGTGGTATGTAAACTAGAAATGCAGGCGTTGCAGAATAGCAGGAGTACTCACCCACATCAAACCCACTGCCATCGAGTCATTCTCACTCACGGTGACCCTAGAGGACAGAGCAGAACTGCCCCTGCGGGTTTAGGGGCGATGACTCTGTGGGAGTAGAAAGCCTAGTCTTTCTCTTGCAGATTGGCTGATGATTTCGAACTGCTAACCTTGCAGTTAGCAGCCCAACACATAACCACTTAGCCATCAGGGCTCTTCTAGCAGGAGAACAGTGGGTAGAAATTGATGAGGGACTGCATTATGTTAAAACAAAGAAAAAGGGGGGGGTGTCAGAGGGGGTGGGATGATGAGAGACTAAGTGACTATGAATCATGAAATTGTGACATTGAGGATAAATTATAGTCAACGGTTGGCTCATTTTTTCCCATGTTAATTTTAAATTGTGGTGGCGAATTAAAGTAGATATGAAAGAAGGTAGCAAAATCAGGATTGGAGACACAGAATGTATATGTCCCTATATAAATACAAAAAAAGGCATATGAAAGAAGGTAGCGAAATCAGGATTGGAGGTGTAGACGATTACCACTGTTTTAAAGAAACAGCCACTCTTGTGGTTCTATTGCATTTTAAGTTTAAACATTCCATACTCCAATTTCCATCAAAGGAGTCTCTACTAGCCGTTTTCTGATGGTTCTATTCAGCAATCTCCCTCTTCACCTCTAAACATGTACAGAAGTTTCTCCTTGGACTTCATCTTTATCTTGATGTTCAGCTTTCTGGAGAAGCCTAGGGCCCAGCAAACCAATGAGTAGACTTCCGATTGGGGCTGTAATGAGGATGGCTAAAAACGCCACTGTCAACACATCCATTCCATATTCTTCTAGTTGTTTCTCTCCATGTGATCTTGCTGTGTCCAAAGCCACAGATCCTATCGCAGCCTAGAAAAATTTGAGGGAAGATGGGAAATACAGTACGAGAAGTATACATTAAAAAAGTGAATTAATCATTTGTACCACCACCCCCCAAACTAAACCCCGATCATTGTACTTTTCCTGGTTCTTTTGTTTAACAAATAAGGTTCTATTTCTTTTTCTTTCAAAATGTACTGCAGTTGGTTTTGATTATCTGAAAACTCCTTGCCCTTGCATGATGTACTGATGATTCATATATACCTATTTGGGTAGGGTAGGCTATGGAAATATCACGCAAATGAATTTCACAACACTAGGCAGATACAGACTCACCATCAGTGACAAGATAACAGGAAGTTCTGCATACCAAATTTCTCCTGACTAAAGGTGAATGCTACTGGTTGCTTGGTCTTTTTATTTTTAGAGACTCAAAGAAAAAATTAGAGGGAAAAATATAATGATACTTATTAGAAGATGGGGATATTTTACATTTGGACTGATCTAATTTGAGAACAAAGGGTCATGATGGTGTAATGGTTATGCATTGGGCTGTTGTCCATGAAGTTGGCAGTTCAAAACCACCAAACTCTCCACGGGAGCTTTCTGCTCCTGTGAGAGTTACTGTCTCAAAAACACACAGGTACAAGTCTACCCTGTCCTATAGGGTTACTATAAATTGGCATTGACTCAATGACAGTAGGGGTTTTTTTTTGGGGGGGGGGAGTGGTGGGGAATCTAAGAATAATGAGTTCTTATGACATGTGTTCTTATGGCAAAGTGGTCCTACTAGATACTTACCCTTATGAAGAGGTCACTGAAGCTATACATGCTATAACAAAGATGGTACCACTGAAGACAAGGGTGCTGTAACAAAGATGCTGCTCAGGTATCAGAAAGAATGACATCTGGGAGCCCTGGTGATGTAGTGGTTATGTCTTCATAGTGGGGTCATAAATCAAGCAGCCATCTAAGTGAGGTGTCAAACAACTATCTAAGTGAGGTTTCAATTAGAAGTTTATTTAATCCAGGGATTGTGAATAATAGATCCAAGACCAGCCAAAGGAACTATATTAGATCTTCTGTTTCAACAAGGCCATGCATGACAGTAAAAACCCAAAATGCATTTGCAGGGTCCCTACATGGATTAAGCCTGTGGAGAATCTCCTCTGACCATTACCCAGGGATTTGAATAGCCTTGTTATCAGAATGAACTGGAAAGTAGATTAATGTTGATGTAGTTAGGTTGGAATTTAACACCTTATCATCCAATAAGGAGCCCTGGTGGTGTAATAGTTACTCGCTAGGCTGCTAACTTCAATGTCAGCACTTCAAATCCACCAGCTGCTCCAAGGGAGAAAGACGAGGCTTTCTGCTCCCATAAAAAAATTACACTCTCAGAAACCCACAGGGCGGTTCTACCCCCTGCCCTATCAGGTAATCATGAGTCAGAATGGACTCATGGCAGTGGGTTTGGTTTATCATTTCTTCTCCCTTTGGACCCATTTCAAATTTGTTCTAGCTTTTATTATTTTCTGCTTTCTTTTGTATTGAAGTTTTTCTGTGTTTCATTGTGTTACTGTTGTTGATTTTTGTTTGTTTTTGTATATTTTTCTTTATATGAAATCCAGGATAGTTAAATGTATAGAGACTGTTGGATGCAAGAGGGTTTTCCCCCAGCTTGTCTCCTCTAAATATATACCAAACGTAGGACGCTGCTTGCAACACATGGTAAATGACTGCATACGATTTCCCTGAGGGTGTTCAGCTATGCAGAGCAAGCCGACACGATTGTCTGTCCCGCCATAGTGGGGGCCCAGTCCCTGCTGATAAGAATAGTGGATTGTTTCTCTGAAGGAGAGCCCAGAGACAAGGTCAAGCCCACTCAAGGATGACCAAGGCTACGCAGCCATCTTGAATCTAAGATCCGCCCATCTTGTCACATGTGTACCCCTAGTCCCTCCTCTTCCTATTGCATGTACACCTATAGCTCATTTCCTTCCTGTTGTGTGTATGACGATTGGGCAGCCCCTTCCTGTTACGTATGTGGTTACATATAATCAGGGGGGCTTGCATACCCCCCTAAGTATCTACAAGCTTTGGTTAGAAATACATTCATTCTCTCTGCGCGGACCAGCTGCTGCGATCATGGCTGTCTCAGAAATGAGCATGCTGCCGTGAAACATGTCTGACTGGTTTCCTTTGCTTTCTTGCTTCTTCCTCCTATTCTTCTATGACTGTCCCATGATCTCTCTATGTTATAGCTGTACCCTGGCACCTACGGACCCTGCGTGGTGTCAGAGGCTGGTTTACTCTGACAAGAGATAGTAACGGGATTGGTAGTTTCTTAGGGTGATTTGCCATATAACTCAAAAAAAATGGTGAGCTGATAATAATGAGTATATGAAGAAAATGTTTTAAAATTGTGGTGATAATTTCACAACCCTTTTTATAAGCTTAAATCATTGAATTATGCTATGTGAGCTACATGTAATAAAACTGTAAAAAAATTAGGGCTAAGAATGTCAGAGCATATATTCCTTTAGATTTAGAGGCTGAGCTAATTATTAAATACAATGAAACATGAAAGTGGTCTATCCCTTAAGGAAGTTAAACTTTATCTTACAAGGTACTTGGTAACTTTTTTCTCAGAAGGTGGTGAACTGTGTATTTCAAATTCACCTAACATAAGTACTATGAAGATTCTCATTTACTTTTAGAGGCAAAATACAGTGTGCTTATTATCAGTTCATATGGGAAAAAATGAATCCACCAAACCGCTTATGTGCTTATCCCGCCAAGTGCGACAAAGCCCCTGAACAGATCAGGAAGTATTGAGTGCCTCAGACCCCATAGCACAATCTCTAAGTTGTTCTCCAACATCTAAATGTCCCTTTTCTATAAGAGAACTACTGAGTTTTAGCTGGTCATCTACCTGTCTGAATAACAGCACACCATACACACACACACACACACACACACACACCCGGGCACGGTCTCTGTTGCAATTAGGTGTAGCTATGTGTCTACATTTTGGCCTAAGTAAGAGGTGAACAGAAATGATAAGTGAGATTTGTAGACTGTGCCCTGGACAGGAATGGACATGTCTGTCCCTTATGTGTCCCTTGCACCCCACTTCCCACTGGATGTGGAATTGTGAGAGATGCAATTGTCACCTTGGACCCATCGAAGAAAGGCACATGTTGAGGACAGCAATCATGCTGCCCGCTCTGAAGCACCCATGCTGAGAGCCTGGTGTTATTGGGGGTGCTGTCTGGTAAGCGCTGGACTGCTAAGTGAAAGATCAGCGATTCAAATCTACCAGCTGCTCCTTGGGAGAATGAGGAAGTTGCCTGATCTTATTTTTAAAAAGTACAGCCTTGGAAACCCTATGTAGAGATGCTGAGAGTGGGAATCGACCTGGTGGCAGTACATTTGAGTTTTGTTATTGTCGTTTGCTCTGTACTCTACCACATTCAGCCTTTCATTGAGTCTTGGCAAGAACAGTACAGATGGTAACATATGCATATGATTTTAGTTCTCTTTTCATGTGTAAGTGTATGTGTACATTTTGGGATTTGTCATGGACTTAATTGTGTACCCCAGCCATATGTTGCAAATCCTGACCTCTATAGTGGTTATAATCCCACTCGTGAAAGAGTACTCTTTGTTATATTAATGATGTAGTATTGGTGTAAGGTGTGTCTTGAGTCATCTCATTAGATAGAAAGGCAAATGAAAAGAACAAGCACAGTTGAGGGAAGAGAGATGTCATGCCACATGCTCCCCAAGGATCAAACCCTGAAGCTGAAGCGAGGCTTTTCCCCAAGGCCAACAGAAAGCGAATACCTTTCCCTATAGTTAGCACCTGCCTTTGCATATCTATGGTACCGAGTAGTGAGAAAATAAATTTAGGCTTGTTAAAGTCACCTACTTACAGTATTTTTGTTACAGTATCAGCAGATAACTATGACAGCTGTATGTAAAATATATTTCTTATAATAGCTCAGAGCTACAAAAGAAAGCCACAGGCAAAAATGGAAATATATGGAAACATATGAAAACCTATGGAAAGATATAAGAAAGTCCCATTATTTTGTGCAGTCGCTAAAGTGGCTAAAGGAGAAAAGAACTTTACTTCACAGAACAAACACTATCCAATATTTTCCAGATAGTTTCCTTATTTTAAAATTTGCCTTCACGTGCCATTTCTCAAGTGTTAACATTTTATATGTTATAAACTGTTCAAACCAAAGTGACTCGAATCCTCCTTTTGATGGGGTTTCCGGAAGTTGGGTGAAAGCAACGCCCTGAGGGAAAACTCTTCCCTTGATGGTACAGCCTTAACCTCACAGCGCACACCATCGGTATGGCTCAGACATCTTTGGAAGTCAGATGGAAAAAGGAGAAACACCTCTGGTGAAATGCACAACATCTGGCATATAATTACAGAGATATGACGGGAGGGCCCAAAATGTCATGGGAGAATAGAATTGCAACGTTGTGGAAATTTCTCCAAACTTTTTGAAGCCTCATCATACATGTTCCCCAAACCTCCTAAATTAAGAACAACTAATTTTAAGTTCCATGAAAATAGAAATTTGTATTCTTAAGTAATGGCAAAAGAATATGGACAGTTAGATCTTATTTGTCTTAATTCGTCTTGAAATGCACAATACAGTGAAATCAGGATTATGTGACATGGGCTGCAAATCAGAGTTTATACAATTCTAATTTACTTATCACATACAGGTATTCTACCAAATGCATGAGCAACAATTTCAAGTAATTCTCTGTCAGTGCATTTATAATCATTTTTTTCATTATACAACACTAATTCTAAGTTGAGTGAATGTAATCAATAATCTGGAAAACAAATAAAACATTTTCTGAGTTATTTTAATGAAATCTTTACTATTTAAAAACTGGCCAAGTATCCTTGACCATTAGTCACATTGATATTGAAGTATTTTGAACCACTCAGATGGGCCACGCTATTTCTGTTGCATACCCTTCTTGGGATCCTGAAATGAAAAGAGCTGACAGCAGCTATCTCTCTGGGTTATTTAGACACATCTGATGGGTGAAAATTCAAACCCTTCTGTCTTGCCACTACTGCTTTTTAGTAGTTTTGGTGAAGAGAACTTGCTTAATATGCCTCTTCTGTCCATGGTCTTTATAACTCCTAACTAGTGAAAGGAGGGAGCATGTAGTGAGTTGTAGAGGACTCTAAGTTGGGGATTGGTCAGTTTTGCCATCCCAGTATGTAAGAGTGAGCCACCTAAGAAGCAGGAATAGCAATCCCATGACCATAAAAGAAAAGCCACTGGTGGAGACCGTGTGAGATTCCTGTCTGGAGCGGTGAAGGGAGCAGATGTTGCAGGAACCAAAACCATAAGACAGAGCAGAGGAGCAGCACCAAGACTCCAAGGTCGGCCCAGGAACAAGGCAGGAGCCAAGGGACCACATGGCTGAGATGCTGAGGACCAAAGAGAGACATGCCTCCCAGCCGAGAAGAGGCATTGTGGACAAAAGTATTGTGTTTTACCATTTGTAACCTGTTGGAATTTCCCAATAAACCCAGTAGTTGTGAGTCCTGTCTGTGAGTTCTGTTTGGCCATTGCAACAAATTGTCAAACCCAGCAGAGACGTGGAGTGCCGCAGGAGGATGGTTGGTGTCAGAAGAGGGTAAAGAAGAAGGGAAGGACTCTGCCTACGATGATCAACCTTGGGCTGATGTGGAGTTGGATTCTTGTACCACCTTGTGTAACCAGAGGAGGTCAGATGTGCCCCCAAACCCTGCCATTTCCTCAACAGCATAGGGATTTATTAGATTTTCAGTTGTACAGTACTTTGGTGATGTAAAATAAATAAATAAAGAAGTCATCCTATTTAAGGAATCAATATATGACAGATAAAACATTTTAAAAAGTAGGTTGATATAAACTATTTTCATAAATCAAATTTCAATTGCTTCTTATTCACCAGGTCTGAATTAATCCTCTCAGGCAATATTACAAGGGATCATGTGGAAAGGGCAGTTAATATGTTAAGCCATTACCTGGACTGTGGCCTTAGGAAGCCATGCAAAAGAAATAAATATCTTTTCCTTGATGTTAAAACCAGCAAAACACACCATCAGAAATGTAGTCATGATTCGTACCAACACTGCAATGCCTAGGGTGGCAACACAAAGGCCTGTAAAAAAAAAAAGCCAGTTTTTATAAATAATGAAAAATTGGGGGAGAAATTGTGTTTCACAGTTATTGCTTCTTCAAAATATAGTCACATGTCATTTAACCCAATACTTCTGTGAAAAGGGTCATTCTCTGAGATTTAAATGTATTACAGACAATCCTAGATCATGAACAAGTTCCCTTCCTAAATCTGTCTTTAAGTCAAAGTTATGTCTAAGTCAGAGAAGTCATATATGGTTTAGATCTAATGCAAGCTAGTCGAATGTTTCAGTATCTAGTACACAGTAGTCCTTTCTGTGCATAAAAATATCAAAGAAAAAATTTTAGACCCACTAAAATATCTTTAACATAGTAACAGTAATAATAATAATGGCTAGATACATGCTGCAGCATAGCAACCATTATTACATACAAACCACTTTATGTGCTTAAGATTTATATTTATATATGTAATATGATTTATGTAGGTTAGGTTCAAGGATGTATGTGGCATCAGACAGTTTTCAAACGCATGTTATATGGTACGTGACTATTGTCAACGGAAATAAAGAACACTAAAATATTTAAAATGCAAAACTAGTGTGATAGGTAGGTTTATTGTGCCAACCTGGCCAATGAACACATGTGGGATTAATTGAAGAGCGTTTCTTGTTTCTTATTCTCTGAGGGTTGGACCAGTGTACGGCTGCCTTAAGTTGTTTTTTTGCCTCAATTTTCAAGCTACACTACCTGTGGGACACCTAACCCATAGACTGTGTCATTGTTGTTTGAGGTTCCTTCAAGACCTGCTTTGCCACACTACTGGAGTATACATTGCACGAGCTGGAGACGGTCGGACCCTGTCATCTGGCTGTCTGTTGGTGACCTGCCTTGCTGTTTGCTGCCTGTGGCTGGATAGCCTGAATTGCTCTACAGAGGACTACCTGGCAGCCCTCAAGACTTGAAGGACTGCCAGTGTCTCACA